GTGAAACTGAAATAAGCCATTGTACCTGCACACAATCCGTCGTATCGGAGACTGCGCTGTTAGGTTTACCATTTACCTCGCACATGTAGATCTGTCAAATTAATTGTGTACTGAACATCCTCCTTTGATACTTATTTGAGGTCTCGAAGCGAGTCTTATTCCAGCAGAGCGACCTCTTTTTCCTAATTACAAACACTGACTTAAGTACGTTAATGTCTTTAAGTCAGCTGCATCAAATGATTCCATTAAGTCTTCTCAAGTCGTAATTGCTCTACAGAAGATTAAATCTTGCTCAAGGTGGATAATATATTAATAACATTACTATAAATATATAGTTATATAACTTTACTATATATTAAACGTTTCCAATATTAATTATAATGACAAAATATGCCAATGTGTAAATGACTTACATACCTCCATTTAGAAGGATATTGGTATTATTCTATTTTATTTATTTATCTGGTAGATTATACATATTTTATACAGTACACAGCGCGACAAAATTCTTACAGCTTTCTCAATTTCTAATTTAAGCCAGCAGTAAGCAGCAATTTAAGCAGCTCCTCACATGAAGCTCTACGTAATTACGTTAATGTCACTAAGCCTGCTGCATCAAATTTCTTGTTACTGCTAAAGGTAAATTCTTTTGCATAGACTGTAGAGGTTATTATAATCTTCTGGCACGTTGTTCTGACCACCCGAAAATTTTAAAATATCCAGGTCTCGAAGCTAGTCTTATTCCGCCCAATCTTATTCAATCAACAAGTCTTTACACGCGTGGGAGCTATAACCTGCCATGCTTGAACGTTTGTTGTCGTAGCAAATCACTTCAAACAGTGCCAGTAGCTCTTCATAAGTCGAGTATCTGGTATCGGCCATAGTGATAGACCAAAAGCTATGTTCATTCGAATCATTTAACGTTAAAAAAAAATTTGTACTAAACTGAAAAACATAAAAAAATATGTTAAGGGATAAATTACTTACAGATCTCCAAGTATTTGCTAATTGGGGTGTCAATATACATGTAAAGGACCAGCCAAGAAGGTAACACTGCAGCGACGGTGGCGCAGTCTGCACTAAAACTATTAGTAGAAGAGAAAAATGGGCGACTGAAACCAGAAGAAGATGAATTATCCATCCTCTTCAAGACTACCATTCATACTCTGTTCTACCATGGGAAGAGGTATGGAGTAGAACACTGAGACTTACCGGACCCATGGATGTGAGGAAGTATTGCAGCCGGCCGACCACCGATACCGACCACCGTACCTCAGCCACATCAAGAAAAATATTGTAAACCTTTATGCATCAAACTCCCATTTCTACACAATGCTCAATATAATTATTTATTTCAATACAGTCCATTTATTTAATTTCAAAGATCCAATCTTCTGTACCATATCATAGAAAAAATGATGGTATATCCCAATTCAAAAAGGAGTGGGGCTAATACTATCCAAAGTGGCCACAAGGTTAAAATGTATCATAAAAAAATCAGCTGGATACGTCAGTATCATAAGGGGTGTGCTAGGGACGATGAAGATTTCATGTCAGTTGTGGTTTAGTTTTGAAAATTAAACAACTTGAACAACTAGAAGTGTATAGGAGACTTTCAGACGGTTTAGATGTAGAAGAGTACTGCGTACTAAAGACAGCATGAAATGTTTTATATTTGGATCGATCATGATTAATTCAAATTTTTCATTGTTTGAACTAAGCTTGTAATTTAAGTAAGTGATGTTGTGAAATTAGTGAGATCTATGTAGGCCTCTTAATACTGACCTCCAGTTTTCAGTTGATCAAAATATATCGCCTATGTACTAACGTTATTATACAAATTTAAACAAACATTACTATGTGGTAAAATTAGATTTCCAAATAACACAAAAAATATACACATTTTCTTAATATTTATTTAGAAGTTTACAAAATTTACTAAAATAAAAAAAAATGGTGAAATCGAACAATTGTTTGCACCTAATTGTTCGATTTCACCAGTATGTGTTATTTTAAAAATATTTTTCTTATGTCCTACTGCAAAAATTATTTCTTTTTTTTTTTTTTGGATTTTTTGAAAATGTTACATTAACTGAAATAATGTTTTCTATTTGTCTTTGAAAATTGCTAATAATGAAATAAAAATTATTTAGATATTAGGAATCACATTTTATTTATTTTTTCCTTATGTCACAAGGAAAGTAATATTACTTTCGATATATAATAATACACTGTGTAATAATTGCAGCGTTTTTTTAATTGTTATTAAATATATGTATTATCAACTGTTAAAACCATTAATAGCATAAGTATAAGTCTGACTAGAGGACCTTAGACCTTAAAGCAGATAAGAGTTGTCTGTAATTTAGAAGTATTACTGGTGTTTGTTGTTTATGCTATTTCTAACTATTTAGAATTATATCTATTGTGTTTAATTCCCTCTGAAATACATTTACATAAAATGTATCTATGCCATGATCACATTTTTTTTTCTTCCTGTAAAAGTTTTATTTTATTTATAATAAAACATTTTAGAAACTCATTTCATCAAAGAATAAATTCAATTTAAGTAAAACCGCAGATTTTATGAGAATTTCAGTTGACAAAATGACGAACTCCAATTTCAAGTTTTTTTGTTATTAATTTTAGTTATAAAATTTATAACTTTATTCACTGTTCTATATTTCAACACAGCGATCGCCTACAATCAACTTACTCACTGTCTGTACACATATATATTTTCCTGAAACTAATATTACTAAAATAAATTTACCCAAAAATGTTAAATTTGGAGTTAGTCATTCTATTAACTGAAAGAGTGAAATTGTCGGCTCCATTATAAAATTAATAACATTAACATAAAATTTGATGAATAGCTTCATCTAATCGTAATTTACCATGTTTTTATTTATGAAAATTCTCGAAATTGGTAGTTTTCAATTTGGAGATCTTCAAATTGTGTCAGTTAAATTAGGTACTAAATACTCAAGAATCCATTTCATTATGAATCTTAAGATAATTTGATCACGAAATTGCGGGAAAATACCAAACGGCAAAATATTTTTGTAATCCACCTTATTTCTCGATTTTGTGATCAAATTATCTTTCAATACAAGTACAAAGCAGTTGAGTATTCTAGAGTTTTTAGTAATTTCTAGTTAATTTAATAAATCGTGTGAGAAACGTCTCATATTTCAGAATATTCCTAGTCTGTATCTCGGAGTAATAGATGAGTATAAGACTGTCTTATTTTGACATGATTGATGATTGATCAACAAGGAGTCAATTGTTCTATTAATTTAATTTTTAATAATATCCATGGTTTGATAGATTTCTTCTAATTTAAATGTGGAATCTGAACGAGATAATTTATAGTTTTACATATCGTTTTAAAAATATTTAAAGTATAATTGTCCAATTTATTAAAAAAATCATCCACTGTCATCAAATGTATTCTCGTAAAAGTATAATATAAATTATTTATTATAATATCGTTTTTATACTATTTACTTTTGTTTTACTGGGGAAGGAGACAGAGGGCAATATAAAATTATGTGTTATTACCGCCTCTGTTAGCATGACCCAGGGAGAAAAAAAAAATGTATTTTTCAAAATAATTAGAATTTTTTTAAACAACTATAACAACAATTTATGACCAATTCGTAGTTTCTAAATGAATTTTTTTTTTTTTTGTCTATAAAATATGTATTTGCGCCTGTCAACAATAAGTTGACAATCAGCAAATGTGATGACGATAATGATATATTGACATGACAGGCGTGGGGAAGGAAAGTACTCAGCAGTATCTCTTCCCTAACTTGTTCCAATTACTTAGGTTGTCTAAGGAAGGAGATCCCTCATCCAACGCCTTTTTAGTCTCCTGTTCTTGTTCTGAGGTATGTCAGTTGTGGGCATGTCTCTTATAAGTCTGTTATTATGTCCATTTAAATTTGTGTAAAATCGTTGATATAGGGTCGTTATATGTTGGTCAACTGTTGGAAAGTGGAGGTCAGTATATAGAGTTTTGTTAGTCACGTACCAAGGTGCTTTTGTTATGAGTCGCAATAATTTTGATTGGAACGTGAACTAAATGAATTCGAATTATATATTTTTAATAAATCGAAATTTGTTTTTTCTTTGATTATTGTGAGTTAAAATTTTAAAGATTTTGAAATTCGATCAAAAACAAAAAATCATATTTATATAGCATAAAGATTGTAAAGTACTGAATTATTCTTATAATGTTCAATAAGTCATTGTGAAATTAAAATTTTATGAATTGTTAAAGGGTAATAGTCGACTGTTCTATTCTGAATATTTAACACCTTTCAATTTTTTTTGAATTGATATTATTTAATACCAACAGTATTTAGCGATTAATTAATAGTTTATCAACTTCTTAAAAGATTTTAGCAAAGAATTAAAACAACCATAGGAAATAGTGACCATTTTAATATAAAACTAATTATGAAACATCTCAATTGCGCTAATAATTAAACTGTAAATAATATAATTTGTTTAATAATTAACTGTTTTGTAGAATAGGTTAATAATTAGATTCTCTTTGTTAATCATGTTTTAAATTTTTAAGGTTTATAAAATCGTTTATTACAATAAAAAAAAAGAAAGTAAAAGAGCATCATAGTACAAGTAAATTATTTCAATGAGATAATGTAAAATATGTATATATTATATTGATATTAAAAATATATATATAAAAGCACAACATGGCGTTTATTGAGTTTTACTGTTTATTATATTTTACATTGATAAGGGAGAGGAAATTGAAATTGTTATTAATATTTGTAATAGTTGTTAAATATTACCGCCTCTGTTAGCATTACCCAGGGAGCACCGCGAATACATTCCCCAAAAAATGTATTCAACATAATAATAAATTATTATGTAGAATGAAAAATATATACATAGTGAGGGATCTTTACCAATCCCTCAAACTAAATAAAACAATAATCATCCTTCAGATGAGTCTTAAGGTGACGATGATAACGGAAGCCACGATGGCACCGTTCACAGGTATAAGGCATTCTGGCGTTATGGCAATTAATATGGTTTTTCAAGCTACGATGGTTAGCGTAGCTTTTGCCGCATTCCTGACAAACATGAACCTTCTTGATCGGCTCTGCCGCTTGCCTCCTCGCAGCGAAGTCGAAGGGGGTGGGGTTCGCCCCCCAACATCCTCCTTGGAGGTGTGCAAAAATACACGAAGGCCTCTCCAAGTTTCTTTGTTCTTCAATAATTGCTCGTGGCAATTCATCACCTTCGTCAACAATTGAAGAGTTATATTAATTTCATTCTTATCTAGGATAGTTACATCAACAAAATTGTGGCAAAACCTCAAGAGGGTGTTACAACATAGAAAACTACCATCTTTTCAGAATTCTGAATGCAAAAATGTTTTTCAAAACTAATTTGTATGTTTTTTAAAGAAATATAACAACCATTTATGACTATTATACAATTTCAAAATCAATTCGAATTTTACATTTTTAAAAAATCGAAATTCGTTTTTTCTTTGACTATCGTGAGTTAAAAATTTTAATGATATTGAAATTCGATTAACAAAAAAAAAAAAAAAATATTCATGTAGCATAAAGATTGTAAAGTACTGAATTATTCTTATAATATTGTCAAAGGAAGATAGTTTACTTTTCTGTAGTGAATATTAAACACCTATTAAAATTTAATCAATTTATGTTAATTAATATACCGACAACATTTAGTGATTAATTAATAATTTATTAACATCTTAAAAAATGTTAGCAAATAATTAAAAGAACCATAGGCTATAGTGACTATTTTAATCCATGGCTAATATCTGTTTATTTAGAAATATTACATTCTGTCACATCAAGGACATTTGTAATAGTGTTCAGAGAACACACTCACACTCTATTTACAATAAATAAAAAAAATAATAATAATAATAATACAGAAACTTAATAATAATAAATACAATAAAATAAAATAAAAATAAATACAATAAAATAAAATAAATGTATATAAACAAAAAAACTAACCTAATCATACACACTCGGGCTTGAGTGGAGGATCTGGCCATTGCCAAAACTCCAATAGATGCTTATTTACAGAAGGTCTCTGGGCCACTGCCGCTTCAACCTTCGAGGAGGATTGTAAGGATGGGTGGTGCTGGATAGAGATTGTGCAAGGGGATTTGGATGATAGGTAAGGTTCTGGTGAAATTTGGAGAATTTTTCTGGAATAAGGTCTAGGACAAATGGGATATTAAGGTCATGGTGTAGGATTTTGTTATTTACATAGAACGGAGCATCAACTATTGTTCGAAGGACTTTAGATTGAAAGGATTGAATACGTTTGATGTTAGAAGCTTTTGCTGTCCCCCACAGTTCAAGTCCGTATGTCCATACAGGTTTCAGTATTGTCTTGTAGATAAGTAATTTGTTTTCAATAGAAAGTTTGGATTTTCTGTTTAGTAGTCTGTATAGTTGGCCGTATCGTCGGTTGAGTTCTTGTCTTTTGAGTCTAGTATGTGGGTTCCACGTTAGTCTTCGGTCTAAATGAAAACCAAGATACCGGACTGTGTCTGAGTAAGGAAGCTGGATGGAATTAAAGTGTACTGGTGGACAGGAGCTGCGTCGGAGTGTAAAGGTAATATGTTGGCATTTAGATTCATTAACTTTAATGCGCCAGTTATTACACCAGTGCTCAATCAAGGTGAGGTGGTTTTGGAGATTTAAGGATGCTATGTTGGGATCAGAGTTGGATGATAAGATTGCGGTGTCGTCAGCGAATGTTGCAAGAAAAGTATCGGGATGAACAGGGATGTCAGCAGTAAAGAGGATGTAGAGCACGGGACCCAAGACACTGCCTTGGGGAACACCGGCTTTAACGGAGTAGATATTGGAATATTCTGTTCCACAGCGAACTCGGAAGGAGCGGTCAGAGAGGTAGGATCGGAGGACTAGGTACAAGGACTGAGGTAAATGGATTTTAAGCTTGAAGAGCAGTCCGGAGTGCCATACCCGGTCAAATGCCTGTGCAATGTCCAGAAATGCACCCGAACAGTATTCCTTGTTTTCTAGAGCTGAGGAAATATGATCAACAACTCGGAGTCCTTGTTGAACAGTAGAATGTTGGGAGCGAAAACCAAACTGATGGGAAGGAATATTTTGGGATTCTATAATGGGTAGGATTCGTTTCAACAGGATCTTTTCAAAAATTTTTGAAAGGATTGGGAGTAGGCTAATTGGTCTATAGGATGTTGAGATATTGGGAGGTTTGCCTGGTTTTGGGAAAAGGATAATAGTGGAGTGTTTCCATAGCAGAGGGAAGTAGGTGGTGCGTAGGATACAATTGTAGATATATGTAAGGAATATGACTGCTTTGGATGGAAGTTGTCGAAGGATTTGAGGGGTAAGGAGATCATGTCCAGGAGCTTTACGGGGGATTAGTTTTTTTAATTGAAATTTCACTTCGGAAGGATGAATAGCTTTTGGGGGCAAGGAAAGTGGGATTGGTGATGTAAGGAGTTCTTCTACTGTTATGGTGTGGGCAGGATGGGATTCCGGATGTGAAATAAATGTATTGGATAGGTGAATGGCGAACTCCTCAGCCTTATCTTCGTCAGATGCTGCCCAGGAGCCATCATCTCGTCGGAGGGGATGGGAAATGCGGTGAGGATTTAGGATTTTGGTTGTGGTTTTCCAAAGGGAATTGTCGCGAGAAGAGAGGGAGGATATGTAGGAGTTGAAGGAATGTGATCTGAAGGTGGCTAATTCCAGTTTTAATTTTTTGCAGTAATAATTATAGGAGCAGCGGTCGGCAGGATGTCGGGTACGTTGCCACAATAATCTGGCACGGCGTTTGGTGTGGATTAGGTCAAGGAGGTGTTGGGGTAGAATGGTCTTTTTAGGAATTCTGGAGGAGTCTTTAGGGAAGGAGGCAGTCCAGGCGGCTTGTTGGATTGTGGTAGTAAAGGAATTTACGGCACTATCAAGGTCATCGGGAGTTTTGAGGGATATGTTGAGATCAATATTATCGGAGATTATTTTGCGGAAAAGGTCCCAGTTTACTGGGCCCCTAATGAATGACGGTGGAGAAGGTTTGGGAACAGGTTGAAGTGAAACATTAAGGATTAGAGGACTATGGTCAGAGGAAAGTTCATTTAGACGTGTAATGGAACAATTGAGGGGACTTAAGCCGCTGTGGATAAAGAAATCAAGAAGATCAGGATTACGGTTGGGATCTGTGGGCCAGTAGGTAGGAGAGTTGGGGGAAAGGAGGTGAAAACGTTGGGAATTGAGTGCAGACAGCAGGGTTCGGCCACGAGAATTCGTGGTTCTGGAACCCCATTGTTGGTGCTTGGCATTTAGGTCTGCACCCAAGATGAAGTGATGTCCTAAGGAGTCGAGGAGAGAACTGAATTGGGCATTGGATATGGATCGGTTAGGAGGGCAATACGCTGATGCAAGAGTGACCGGAAAGGAGAAGGTTTTTATCACGATAGCGGCGGACTGTAGGAAATCATGTAGTGGTAATGGGAGTACGTGATGGGAGAGGGATTGGTGTACAATTACAGCAGTACCGGCATGTGCTTTTCCGTCAGGGTGGTCAGTACGATATGTCAGGTATTGTGGTATATTGAAGTGCTGTTTAGTGGTTAGTCGAGTTTCAGTAATTAGTGCCACATCAATGTTCTTGTCAAGTAGTAAAGTAGATAGTTCGTCTGTATGATTTCTAACACCATTCGCATTCCAAAGGAGAATGGATATGGGTTTAGGGATGTGAGTCATTTAAGGATTTTTCAGAGGAGGGATGAGGTGAGATACGAGATTCGTGAGGAGTGATATGAGTGGAGTAACAAGGGATTTGAAATCGGTGAGGAAAGATGCTAACAAACTTGTGAGATCTGTTGCATTTGAAGGAGGAGGAATATGAGGAATTTGTTGTTGGTGGTTAGGTATATTAGGATGAAGAGGATTTTGAGGTTGGGTTTGAGGTTGTTGTGGCAGGGCTTGACATTTATCGGTTAAAGTCTTACCTCTAAGTAGTTGGGAGAATGATACATCATTGTTTACAATTCTGGAAGGCTCTCTCTCTCTTCTTGTTCTTAGTGCTTCATCTTGAATCCGGTTTTTCTGGTGTCTGGTTTTGAGATTCTTGTAAATTTGGCAGCCTTTGTAGTTGGCCGGGTGTCCCTCCAAGCATAGGGCACATACTGCTGGATCTTGTATAGGTTTGGTGCACTCTACAGATTTGTGCTGTTCACCGCACTTCACGCAACGCGGCAGATGGTGGCAATATGTCTTCGTGTGGCCATAGGTCTGACAATTATGGCACTGCACGATGTCTCTCTTGGGATATGGCTTCTCAACTTTCACCATTGTGTAGTATATTCTTGTGATATCATATATTTTTTCGATACCTGGTGATGGCTCCAAGTCCACGAAAAACAATGGTAGTGGGATCCTATTTCGTAATCCTGGCTGCTCCCTGTCCTCCTTCAAAACGTTTGTTACCTGGCGTACATTGAAACCAAGCGTCGTTAGTTCTTCTTTAATAACTTCAGTGGGGGTTGAGGAATGTAAATTTCTTATCACTACTCGTAAAGCTCTTTCCTGCCTCAGCTGGTAAGTGTGAAAATTCGCATTTGTTTCTGATAAGTACTTCACTATTTTTCGGTAGGCTTCTGCAGAATCAGGTGTTATTTTGGTGTCATTGGTCCTGTTAAGGCATGAATAACTGCCAGAGCAGATTTTATTTAGTTGGGTGCAGAACATCTGGAAATTTTTTATATTTTTCACAAATATCGGAGGAGGCTTTGGTTCTCTGGGTATTGCTGCAGACTCCATTACTTCTCTGTCATTTTGAAGCACTTGGTAGGGGTTTGGAGTAAAGAAAGGTGATTCTTCAATCGTTTCTTGTGCAGACGTACCTGGTTGGGGCTGAGGTTCTGGTTCTGAAGTGTTCATTTTGGTCACTGGAGGTATTTCTCGTAGGCAGCGACGAGTCCTTTGTTTGGCTGGTGAGCTAACTCCGTCTGACCGAGACCTCTTGGGCACCTTACTGGCCATCACTTGCTGATCATACCGCATATCATAAGAGAAAAAAAAATAAATAAATAAAAAAAAAAAAGATACCAACAGTAAATATCAACTGCTCTGATATACACTTAACTGTATCACGTGAATCAGAGAGATTCCGCTATAAAATTGGTAAAAACTGAGAGAGGAGTTGAGGAGACCGACTATTTAAATAAAAACGAATTATGAAATAAACATCTCATTTACACTATTAATTAAATTGTGATTAATATAATTTGTTTAATAATTTATGTTATTTATTTTAAAAATAAATTTTATTAGGATATGTTTATTT